TTAGAGGGTTTATGCTTGACTTATACAGTTCGATATGATTTTCGGATGCTCACGATATTCTGGTTCAAACACGTTCGCCTCATATGAAGGTGAAAATTTAGACTAGTAAGGCAAGCGGTAGAGTTATGACGAGATTTTCTTACCCGAGTCAGGAGTCACATTACTTGGGCAAAGCTATCTTTTTCTCCACCACATTGCATTTCAAGCAGCTTTTGTGCACACGTAATAAAGAGGTTTGAAAACATAATTGTAGAGAAAACGGAGTTGTTTTAAATCGTATCTCGTCAAGCAGTCAGTCGTGACAGTATTTCAAAGTGGCATTCAAAGTTTACGGCTCCTGTTGTCACCAGACAGTCTATTTCGTGTTCATCTTGCTTTCTTTCAGATTTTCATAAACCATCTCCTTCGGCGTTCTGGCTACATGTTTGGAGATAATATCACAAATTCTAAGTAAATCCACATACGCACACAGAGTGGAACACGAAGGTCATTTCTACAGCCAGTTGGCAGGTATGGCATTTCGAAACGGTCATTGACCGAAACTTTGTATGACTCATGACACTCCTTAGGAAAGACTAGGAAGACAGCAATTGAAGCTACCTTTCTCTTGTTTCTCCTACATGCCGATTCGAGCATAAAACAAAGGTGCACCAACTTGACGTCTCAGCCAAATTCTTTAAACTCTGTTGACTGACAGCGATGACTAGATGGCTTGTCGTGTTCTGAAGGTAAACTAGGGGGATGCGCCAGCCTCATCGGGACATTTGCCTAATTTAAAGAGACATGTGACACCTCGGAGGCTCACATTTACAAAATTGATGAATGTAAACAAGCGAGGACTACTAAACTGGGAGTGATTACCCTTCGGAATTGGATCACTTCTTTTACTGAGACAGGAGGTCGATCAGGAAACGGTCACGTGAAATCAGAACTAAAATGTTGATCTACTCTTAAACACTTAATATCCCACACTGGTGATGCAGAAATGCTTCGCGACGCACAAAAGCGACGTAGGTTAGCATCAACTCACCTTGAGAACGTGATTCAGCATCCAAAGTAGTGTTTTCTCTTTCTCATGCACGCACACAAATGGGCACCTAACTTTGCTAGGTATCGTCTTTCT